AGCTCGAGCTCGAGGCTCGAGGCACATCGCTCGCACAACCCCTTGCCCCCCGAAACCCTAATTGTTTACAAACTCCTAATTCATTACAACTTCCACCCTATCTCCAACTCTACAATCCTAACGCAACTCAAATACCTAAAGCAGTTCAAACCACAGGAAGTTCAATCATTCTAGGACTCCTCCACCAGCATCTATAAATATGCAACCCAACTTCGCCATGAAGGTATGTTTTTGATTTCAGTCATTCAACATAAAATTTCTCTCAAGAAGTTTAACTGACTTAACCATCGGAGGGGCAACGAGGACACACCTTGCCGCCTTTGTTTCAGGTATCGAAGACCGGACTGCGTGGAATTCTCTCGTCTAGCTCGAATTCATCTAGGTACGAATTTTGGTAGCATCATTGGCGCCGTCTGTGGGAATCGCTACCAAAAGCCATGGTGAACACGCGTTCAGGACACCTCCCAACAAGTTCATCCGCCCCTAACCAACCCGTCGTCGGAGACAACCCGGGTCCCCAGGACGTATCATTTGGAGAGCGACATCCGCCGGCGACAGCCCCTCCCGGAGAGCTGGAGGAGCTCCGCCAGCAGGTAGCAATGCTCACTCAGCTATTACATCAAAGATCCACGCCCCCAGTACCTTTCCCTCAGAGTAATATCATGGTCAATGAGCGACCCCCTGACCCAAGTCACGGTGAAGCGAGAGCCTCAGATGCACAACATATCCCCACAGGTTCGCGATCAATTGCTATAGACTCGGCTGATCTTGCACGGATCATCCAAGAGGGAATCACGGCTGGAATGATCCAGAAGTCTCAGGCAGCAGCGGGATTCACCCCTAACACGCCTTTCACCCCTGAAGTGTTGTCGTACCCCCTACCGGATCGGTTTAAATATCCCCGAGTGAAAGAGTATGACGGGACAACAGACCCTATCAACCATCTCAACATATACACGGATATCATGAATTTGCAGGTAGCGCCCGACGCCGTTATGTG